TGTTTTTGTACGTACGAGTAATACGGAATATACGCATAAAAATGTTAATTGTTGATTTTTCAACAAGATTATTCGGCATTTGTCGAATTTTTCGAAAAATTGGATCATTCGAAATGCTTGGTGGAATAGAATTAATTTTTCTACGTGGTTGTTTGGAATCTCGAAATAACTTGAAATAATCGCGACAGATGGATATTAATTTCTATTCTTGAATAAAAAGTGGACAATTTAGAATATTTTTTGGAGATATTAATTTTTATTTTTAATTATTTAGAAGAGATATCAATGGAAGAAACATTAATTTTTGTAAGATGTATATAAATCTATAAATTTTTGTGTTGGAACTTCTTTATCCAACTTTCATGTCGAACATTTTTTTGAAGAGTGGTTGGGAAAGTAGGGTAACGTAAGAATATTAATTTCGAAATTAACTTCAAACATCACGATTAAACGTAATCAACGATTGCACTTTTGTGCAACAGAGGCATTGCAAATTACAATAGGTAACTGGTAATAATAGTTCATTCGAATTCCTGAGTTGTAACAAGAAAAAAAAAAAAAAAAGAAATTCAGCAGTAGAGAAGTAGGTCGAAATCTAGTTGCGTATATTATGTTAATTATCGTGCATTTAATGTGGTAACCATTATTTAGGAGAAATACTGCAATTATAGAAGACTTGGAGAACCTATTTCCTATTGCTAATTTCAAATGCTTGCATCGATGTAAAATTATAAAAGAAAATGAATTCTCATTATTTCTAATTGCTGTCGAAAAAATTTTCCATACTTTTTACAAATAACTTTTCCACGAGAAACTGATCTCAACCTTGCAACATCTATGAGTAATTATTCTAAAAGACTCAACTGATTCTTTCCCAAGAAGACAAAAGATAGTTCAGAGTAAGAATTATAGACAATCGAAACTTTGGTACTCCTAGAAAAGGAAAAGAATCTATAAAAATTTTTACAAAACGAAAATCTAGAAAATTGACCCGATGATCAGCACAATGTGAAAGTGATTCAAAACTGTCTGAAACTCTTCTCCGAAATGTCTAGTCGAAATCAGGCAACACTAACAGTGAGTATAACGAGAACTGCTCTGAATACAGTGTTTCTGATTTGTTACGGCGTACATCCAGTGACCAACATTTTTCCTCCGACCGGGAAAGGACGCGCGGGGTCAAGGAAACAAGGAGAGAACGCAAAAAGAGAAAGAAGAAGGTGGAGGAGGAGCGTTGCGGGAGAAGCTGAGGAGCACAGTCTGGATTCTCTGGTTTCCGTCGCCGGTCTCGTCGACGTGGTAACCGATAACGGTACCGTTGGCTTCGACGGTGCTCACCAATGTGAGAGTACTGTTATTCCAACGATGCGGTTGCCTTCTCTGTTCCACCAGAGACTGGTGCTCTTGCACGTTCTTTGCCGACCGGCGAGCGTGAAGCAACCGTGCATGGTTGTTAGTCGCTTTTTAGCGTTCGACAGGAACGTTGTCGGTGCAGAAATGCTGGAAAATTGACCATCAAGTGGGATATATTTATAGTAGATAAGCATTTGTTTGGGAATGAGAGTGAACGGCAATTTTCTGGGTGTCGAGTAGACATTAACTTAGTAAGGATGAACGAGAAAAGATCTGAGAATGATGAATTAAATTTTTCGTAACTGATTATATCTCTATTTTATAGAATAAAAATAAAAGTTGAAGGTGAAGAAGTGGATTGCAGGTAAAAAAAGGATTGGAATAAATTCTTTTTTATTCAAAGATGAGTGAAATTCGAAGCCGTAGAGATTAGAATAATCTCTGTTTATTTTATGAAACACGTACCATTGGACATCGAATAAAATGAAATTGATACAAACTTTTTATTCTACGTAGGAGAGCGAATAATATGTCTGTGCCATAGAAATGGATAAGGTTTGGAGACAACTGGAATTCGTGTTCTGAATGGATGGAACTTGCGGCAGGAATGTAGCTAGGTATTATACTTACACAGGTAGCCACTTCAGTGGAGTAATTTTAATGAGAGTGATTTATGACTGATCAAGTTTTCTGACTATGGCTATGGTGTATAAAAGATAACGAATACTTAAGATTATAAAATCAGATAAGAGAATTAAAAAGATATAATAAACATATATTATAAACCTGTAAATTCCAAAATCTTCCTACACTACGATACATTCTTATTATTTTTTTTTTTTTTTGAAATTTTAATTCAAACTTTAATCTGTAAAGAAAGTCCAGAAAGTAGCCCGGTAATTTCTTCGTAAAAACGATTTCCCAGACGAACGTTTGATTTCTTCTCATCTTGCAGTTGACATCGAAGCTAGATGGGCCGCTGTTAGTTACGCTTATACTTACATAATGATTACTAATATGATCGCTCATACGCGACGAGATCAAAGTTCATCTTGAAATAAGGTAATCTCGGAAGGAGCAATTTTAACGGTACAAGAACGCTGTAAAATATGTACACCGTTCATATATTCACTGTGAATTCATTTGCATACTTTAGTTTCTTCTTTTCTTCTTTACGTTCCTCGCAGCTGCTCGCTCTTTTCCCCATTACCGCGGCGAAAGTAATCATTCGAACGATAAACGCGTCCGCAACCAATCTTCCCTGCTTTCCTTTCGAGCAACTGTCCCAAAATTTAAGCTTAACAACTTTAAACAGAGCATTTCAATAATTAGAATCTCCTGTTACAGATAACAATCGATACTGTTTTATCAGTCATTTATTTACTCCACTTACATATCCGCAAGTTCCATTATTTGTAATTATCATATTTTTATTCAACAATAATGAACTTTCGATATTAGTAAGTGCTTCAAATTGCACATAATGGAATATGGCAAATTTCAAGAAGAGACAATTTTTACAATAATTAAGAATTACTTCCTCCGTACTTACGAGAAAAAGTCGTTTCTAAAATTCTAAAAAAAACGTACGGATCTACAGCTATTACGGAACGATCTCGTCGCTTGGCCACCAAAGTTGGCCGTGTTTTTGCGATTTATTCGAAAGAAACGTAGAAGTTTGAGAGGGTAAAAGCGGCAAGAACCGATAACGACAGCAAGAACGCTGATTGCGCCTACTTTTTAAGTTCTCGGAAGGCAAAGACGAAGTTCCTCCTTTCCCGTGTTCGCGGCTGCCTTGATTAAAACGTGCCAGCGGTTTTACAATAATGTCCAGTTATTTTATGCATTACACGAGCACGCGGGTATCGTTTCATCCAGCGACAGTTGTTGGATACCGCTTGCGAAGCGGCTTATGATTTTTCATCGACTCGCTTTCGCAGCTGTCGCCTCCTGTCTCTTCTATCTTTGCTTTTTCGTTTTTCCGCATCTCTCGGTTATGGCAAGATTTTTACACAAATATTCCAATTCATTCTATCATTTCAAATTTCTTTTCGAAGATTCCTTTTCTTCCAACTTCTCCCAATTTCTGGTCATATGGAATTTTTATACAAACGTTCAATTATCTTCAATAATACCGTTTGTTTCGTAATCGTAGCATTTAATTATATTTCCATCGGTTTGACAATTGATTTCGTTATATCGTTCCGCAGGCGATAAATGGACGTTCAAATTATACCACGGTGATAACTTCTATTCAGTTACGTCCTTCTGCAAAAGTAGAACGAAGTACAATTGGAATTCTAAGAAGAAAATGGCTGATTGTCAGTCCTTAAGTGCAATTTAACATCACACGTGTATTTCCCAATATAGCAGACGCAGAATATTTATCGCATCTATTGATGTCATCCATTGTACTTATAGCACTAATAGCGCTATAATAATGGTAATGCCTTGTGAAAAGGAATCGAGAATAACAGTTACGTCTGTATGTTGCTTCTATTAAAATATTGCGCCTAGAACTTGCAAACAAAAAAAGAAGAAGAAGAAAATCTAGAAGAAAATTGAAACACAAACGAAGTCCCTCAATTGTTGAACTGTAATTTAATTAACTTAATTCACGTGTCATTTCTCTTTTCTGGCAAATTCTCTTTGTGCTCTTCGCTGTTTGTTTCCTCTCGATCCAGTCGCGAGTATGCACGATGCAATTACACAGTCTGCTTCGTACGAAAAGGAACGCGCGATTGTCAACGGCTGAGAAACACGCGGACAATTGGAGGTAATACTGGAATTTAGTCGTGCCTCGACTCTGCTGGCCTTCGTGTTTCTTTCGGATTCGGTGACCTAGACGAATGGAAGGTGTAATTTAGTCTCTTTCAGTCTTCCATCGTTTCGCGCGGACTCGAGAGTTTCTGCGCGTAATTTAACCAACTTGGTTCTTCTTGAAAAATTTCAATACTTTCCCTCGCAGAGGTCTTCTTTGTGTTTTTTTTTTTCAGAAATAATTGTATACAGGCACTTGCGTCTGTTCAAAAATAGTCGTCACAATTTTCCCTCCATTCTGTAACAATTTGCAATTTCGACAATGGTAATTGACACAATTTGAACTTGCAAAAGATTTCACTTTAGGTAATAATTATTTATTTACGCAAGAATCTTCTTATCTTCTGCTTCAATTCGTTAACTTTATCACTTGTAGAATTCGAATCACCATGGCTACTTCCGTGGAAATATTCCTTGCAAGTGTACCCAAAGTACCAAGATTCTTGTCCCACTGATAAAGATAACAAATTCATCGCGCTGCGGCGAAATTTCCGATGAAATATCGTAACGGTGCATCGTCCGATGCATCCGCGAGTCGCCTGAAATTACACGGTCCCGTTAGAAAAATAAATTTTACGAGTAATTAGATGTCGATCGATAACTGAATGAACGGAATTTCGCCGTTGACCTTGTTTCTGCCTAAAAATCCTATACGCTTGTGCGTGCACGTGTGTGTAACTGTAAATCGTCGCGTTGCCTTCTAACTGTAATACAGGCTATTGATGTCCCCATGGCGAAATTACTCGACAAAGATCCATTTTACGAAATATGAAAATTTCTCTCAACGTTTTCGAAGTTGAAATGTCTTCGAGGAGCCTCGCTAATTAGTTAATTGTAAAATTACATGGTTGGAAGAGTACTTTTCTTCAGATGACACATTCCGATCGATGATTACCTTCGATGTGAAAATAGCTGTTAGACACGCGAGGTTTTCCCACTCTTCTCGTATTTCTTTTTTTAACGCGGATGCTTCTTGGTTTGAGAAGCTATGCGTAATTGTCCTTCGATTATAATTACGCATTGTTGCTTGATGAAAAAATGATTTCAAGGAAAATGTGAGATCCGCGAGGAATTCGTTGAAGATGCTGAACATTCGTTGGGAAAATCTCCGATTGTTTAAACGATTTAAATTGTCTGGGTGAAAATTATATTCAGAGAAGAAAATCGAAGAAAATTCTTTGTGAGAAGAAACTCTTGAAGATTCTAAAAATGACGAACTGAAAATGTTTCTGCTTGCTCTTCACGCTTGAGTTATCCCATTGAGTGCACAGTCATACCACAGGAATCCCACGATTTAGTTGCTGATAGTTACGTAGAATCGTATTATATAATTTATGAATTATTCGCAATGCTTGGTAACTTTTGTTTGTAAATTTGCAATTTGTAACGGGATTTGCTCGCGTTAGCATTGTCTCGATACTGTTATACCGTTCACCATGAACACTTACAATATATACCGATTATTGGGAAAGATCAATTTATTTAAAAAAAAAAAGGAAATAAAAAAAAGACAAAGAGAAATATATATATCCTTCTTACAGAGGTAATAAAAGTCGAAAAATAAGTCGCGTGTCGTAACGCGTGTTGACGAGAGGACTTATGTAATAATAATAGAATTCGTCGTAGCGTGAGCGGAATTATGAATGACGTTATAATTCGTCGATAACGATTCGTGAAATGTTACTTGCAGCCTTACGCAATTACGTTCTCAAACATCACCTGGTGATTACATCAATAGATCGATCTCAACTACTCTTTCAATATGTAATATAATACAAAATTTACACCGACAAGAAACGACAAGTTTTACAAAAAGTTGCGCAAAAAGTTGAAGAATCAAAGGACGGAATGTGGAATTTCTGACGTTACGTCAGACGCAGATGCGCAACGAAGGTCGGCCATCGCGCATCCATAATTCAAGGCTGTTTCTCTGCATATCCTTTATATTGTGTCGTCGTTCAGAATCAATCGTCCGTCATCATCGAGAACTATCCCAGAAGCTCGTCTGAGTATCAATATGTAATTTCAC